ATAAACGCCGGACGGTTTTCCGAAGGATCAAACTCCAAGCGTGTATCAAGATTCGAGTAAAGTTCTCACTTTTACGCGATGACAAAACGATGAATTCTTTACAAAAAGAATCAGCTTTGCGATCGTTATTGTCGGAATGTCTTTCGCGCCAACACTTTTCCCCTCATTGCATGTATCTGGAATAAAAGAGCGCCGAGGGAAGCGACGCGGACGCGAACGCGACGTGGCTAATCCATTGCGTCTTCGCCTAGTTCGTCCTCGTCTTGGCCGTAATCGTCGTACTGCGGGTCCTTCAGGTCGTCCTCCTTGTTTCCTTCGGAACACAGCGTGCATCTCGACTCGTTGATTCCGTAATTGAGGCACGTATCGCCTACGCACTCGCAGCAACCGTCGTGGAACCACCTGTAGCTCGTGGCGCCCATGCTCTGGCAGGACGCCTGACACTTGTTCCAGGAAATGCACTGCGCCATGAACGCGACCGTGCAGTTTAACGTCATCACGTTCGGCTTCAACGGATGCACTTCCTCGGTCGCGGTTTCTACAAACCAAAACGTATATCGTTAACTCGTGGCTCTTAATCTTTAACGGATCAGCTTGTCGATGCTTATTTTGTTATTAAATTTACGCTACGTATTCCGCGAAGAAATTGTTATTGTCTACGTAACATTCGTGTCGTTTCGATTAATTATATTGCACGCGGTACGCGTATTGATCAACCAATTCGTGCGCCAGAAGTTTCGTGCATGCGTAATCGCGCATTTTCTCTCGGTGATGCAATTTCGATACTTACGCATATGATATTTCATTTCGTTCCCGGGTTTGGGCGCGAACGTCGTCAAGTCAAAGTCTACCGGATACGTGAAGGTGAGCCATCGCTCGTGCGGGTCCGCCTCGGCCGTGAGTGCCTGGAAGAGCGCTGGCACCGGCTCGCTGAACTCCTCCACGTGAGATTTCTTGCTCAACGGGTTGTCGGTGGTATTCGGCTTCGGGCATAGATCTGCGCACCCACGGAAATGTGTTACGTCATTTATGTAGGATGTTCGGAAATTATCTCCGTTTTTTTTCTAGAGGAAAGTAGGATAAAACCGGATAAGCGGTTTAAATCCTGCCGATACCTGTCCTTTCACGAAATGTTCTGATAAATTAAAAATCGCTAGTGCTGTTTAGCAATTTATAGTTATTATAAATTTTATTTTTTATATAAGATATTTCAAGAGTGATTCACCGAGATATTTTATAGAGTTATATATAGAGAAT